GTTGTAGGATATATCAGAGAGCACCTTGGAGTTTACGGCCTCAGTGATTTTTGCAGGAGACCTTGTACCCTTTTTGAATAGGAGAATAAAAGACGGTATTCTTCCCTCACTCCAGATACTTTGTAGGAAATCTGTCAGGGTAGCCACGGAGGACCCATCACCTTCTTTGAAGAGTGCAACATACAAACCATCTGGACCAGGTGCTTCGTTGCATTGAAGCGATGAAGTTGCACCCTGGACTTCCGTTGAAGATGATATTCATGCCGTACTCACGTTTATTTGGCCCTTCCAGGTGGGTTTGTGGGGACTAGCTGAACCGCAGGCCGGCCTGGTCCAACGACATGCGGGTACTGTCTTGCTGGTTTCCCCCAGCAATAGGGCAGAGATGTCTTTGGGTCTTCGATAACCGTGTCTCTGAGCCCTACCTCGTATACGCTGGTACCAACGAATCCGTAACGATCCAAGCAGAAAATGGTATTCGGTGTGCAACAGGGACTTCAATCGAAGAATGTCTGGTATCATAACCTGCAGTGGTTTGGGCATGCATTACATTTGCCGAAAGGAGTGTTGTTATCCATACCCAATAGGGAATGCGTAAGAGAAGCATTTGCCGATCCTTGACGTGGGGGAGCGACACGAAAGCGATTGCGAAGGCTGGTTACTGTCGGCTCGTCTTTCAGAATAGAGTACAGAATGATTTCTTCTTGCATATTGCTCGGATATGCTGAAATATACGGCCACTAGTCAGGGTCGATGGAGTTGTGTTGCTAGCTCTGTCCATTATTTAAATGTACCCGGAGGTGTAAGCAACTCTAAAAGGTTGTTTTACAAGCATCAGGTCCTTTCCCCATCCATTTTTATTCTTCACAATGAGCTTTCAAATAAGCTATGGTCAAAGCATCATCGCTGAATGGTAGCGTTATGCTGCCGACGGTGATGACGATGATATGGTGAAAAATTCGACATAGTATCAAAATCTGGAAATCTAATAGAGAATTGCTGATGTCCTGAGGAAGGTTTTAACGCCAGCAGCTGAAAAGTTTTGAAATGGATGACATCGAAAAATGATGACGGTGGCAATACTGCGGGCGATTGAGTAATACAGCCGTTTAGTACTCCATTTATCTAGAGTTCGACGTCGTCACCAACGTTCCTTGAATGAACATGATAAGTGGCCCATCTGAAAGTCCTGGGTGTTTTCAAGGCTTTGAAAAACTACTTTTTGACATCCGGTTTCAGTGTCCGAACAGGATATGACCGACCAGACAATAAATTCCACGGTGCGACGATTTCCGGACACACATTTGGACGCAAAATCACTCAACTAGGGAGGTTATAGAGGATGAATTCGGATTGCTATCCCATGGACCCCATTATAAGCAATGTGAACCGACCACTTAGTCAATAAAAACTCCAGTGAAATCTCGTCAGAAGGTAAGGATTCAAGTATGAGGCACAGGACAACTTGGGAAGTACTTGGAAAAAGCATTCGGTCCGTTCCTGGATGACAGATTGCCTACATAATGTCTGAACTCATCGGTGAAGTCTGGAGGATGTATGCGACGCGGAAATGTGTTCAAAATATCTCTCCCGACCAGGTGGTTAAGGAGCGAATTTACTGGCTGGAAGTTCCGTGGTTCGAATCTAACCATGGCATATCGACTCCTGTCTTGGCTTTGTCAGTCTACTAGTACTTCTGCCCTGGAGCTTCCTTAGTGTGGCGCGGTAGCACCGAAAGGATTTTGAAGCTGAACGATTATCTTTTTTTCGGACAAGTGATCCAGTCATGGATTTTCTTGGATAGGCGGAGCTTGACGCTTAAAAATGCTAGGCCGCACCGTTGTGATGTCCAGGCCAACAGAAAACAAAGATTTGTGAACTAAAATGCGCAGACCTGCATGACCGGGATATAATAAAGCAATGTGAGAAGTTGAGGAGCCCATAGCCTATAGCCGGGTATAGCGAAATACTAAATATGACAGCTAGCAGATACAACAGTTCACTGGCCTCAACCAGTTGAAGGGGTTGGAACTGTTAGTCTCAGAAAACTTCTGTAAACAACAAAATCGGCGGTTCCGCCTGCATTTTTACAAGAGGTTACCGGTTCTTATTTACTGTTTATATAACATCAGTGGCCTTCTGACGGACCGTTATAGGAAAGAAGCAAAAACAAAAGAATCGTCTTCGGTCGAATTTGCGCCCGGTGGGTGTCCGTGAGAAAGCTTTCGTATGGAGCGCAAGCATCACGTACCTGGTCCGCACATACCAGTTTAACCAACTTCATGGTGGGATGTCCAGTAAAGAAGTTGGCAATGAACCTATACCATACCGATAGACAGGGACCCTGAAATAAGAGGGAAATGTAACCGTAAAAACGGCCAGCAATAACTTACCAGATAAAAGGTTCCCACGAGCAAAAAGTTTTTGTTCCGGTAAAAATCCAACTGCTTATTCTTTTCAATCAACTTTTGTGAAAGTGCATCTGCACTAGTCATCAGAACACCTATCCAATGACCGAAGATCGAAGTAGTTACCTGTTGATAAGGAGTGGGCGATTAAAGGCTTATGTTTTAGCAGATTAACATATGAGTGCCAAGCAAACACCAGAGGATTCCTCATTCTGTAAAGAGGTAAAACATTAGAGGTGTACCAGTCCTATTCGAAGAGTTACTGCATCATCGAGCAAAGGATGATAACAATGGCATGAGTGGTACGGTATAAAACAGTTCACTACATGAAGAAACGGATGATACAGGAACAGATTAATCCTATCTGTATGAGTGGATTGGGGACTTGTGTGTGTTTCGGAGATACAGCACACACCGATCGAAAGAGGAAATAAAGTTCGAGCACGAGACGCTTGATGAACAATACGACAGCATTCAGACGCTGTGGGAAACCTTTTGAGTGCCATCAGAGCTTATTTCGGTTCATTTTAACGGACGAGTTAACATACAGAGGAAAGGCCGATGAATAAAAACCTGCAAGAGTGTCCGGTGGCCAGCCACCCCTAATCACCGAACGGCACGCCAGTTGGATGGACGTGTCACGAGCGGGCTGTGGACCAAACGAAGACATTCTCTGGTTGGTCGGAGTGCCAGCTAATCGGGATCGAGCATCCTAGCCCGTCGCTTCTCGCCACCCTCACGGAGATTCTAGCGCAACCTTGTGTAACATTCTGTGATAACCCTCCTAGCCCGCGCTTCTCGCCACCCTCACTCACGGACTAGCGCAACCTTGTGTAACATTCTGTGATAACCCTATAAATGCATTTGCAATAATCTTCCGTTGTCTCCATAAAGGGCTGTCTGAAGCTACCGTGTCTCTTGATATACCATAGTTGGCTTAGCAAGAAACCAAGGGACTGAAACAGAATTGCACGATCGTTCAACGGGTCAAACTAGAGGGTCTGGCTGAGTGTGTGACTCGAAGTCCTAGTCCAAATGGCAGTTGCAGGATATAAGGTGTTTTCTAAAGACCTCCGTATCCTCTAATTAGAAACCCCGAAACACAAGGCTGTAATTGTTGAGTTTCTTGAGGGGCGCTTCCAGGGAACATCGTAAGCGGCGTAAAAAGAACTGATGGCTCACGGATGTACAGCCACCAGTTATACTCGATGCCTGAGTAGACAAAACGGGAAAGACTGGACGAGAGAAGGAATCTGGTGCTGACTTCTCGCATGCACCCTGAGGTGCCTACACACCAAGCCCCAAGTCCGACAATATGCAAGGAAACTGATTACACCAATAACACTGATATCAATCAGCCACCATTTCGCACAATCTCTGGTCAACCGCAGGAATGACCACTGGAACCACATGGTCGAATGTGAATGCCACGAACAACATCCAAAATCTTCGTAATCTCGCACCCTTCTTCCAATTCACAAGTTGTCCACTTCATGGTTCACGCCACTCTGAAGGAGGCACGGAGAACAACACTCTCTGCGGCAGACGGTTTGCGGCATGAATTGCTTATGGCCGGGCTACCGCGGTTGCCGGTGGACTTTTTCATTGACTAAAGTACCTCATGCACAGTCAAATTCCCGTTTTCTAAGTGCATTGTTACGAATTCGTTGGCGCCACCCGACATCAGCAATGCTTCTGAGACAGGTGGTAAACAACTTAGAAACGCCCCGCATCACGTGTCAGTAGATGCCATTTCTGTCAACAATACTGTTGCTGTGTGACTGGTTACGATCGACTGCTGTATGCTGCGTCGCCGGGCCTCCAGCAAAGCCACGGTCCTGGCAAATATCCGGTGTTTTGATGAGGTCAGCTGAGAGAGAGAAATTTCGGCTTTGAGTAGCACTTTAAGGATCTGCTCTCGCTGGCACCCGATATATGACATCGGAGCATCCGGCAGGTGTTCGGGAGCCAGTTCTGATACGTTCTTTCGATTACTGGGTTTACTAGCTTTTAGCTGACCTAGCAAGGTGTCCGCGCTTTGCGTAAACCTGGAAAACACAACGAGAGGTAGCGGCAGACAAGGGCATGATCGGAGTCCACGCACATATTCCAGAGGGAGCAGCAAGTAGTCATCAACTCTGGCTACCGGTATTTGACGACGGTGAGGTTCATTGCTTCATTGGTTGGCCACACGTACTTCAGCAGTTCCCGCCGTTCCAGAAACTGGTATTGCAGTGCAACAGTCGGCAATCGCTGCATCTCTTATCCAACCCACGATGACCAGCAAATATCAGTCTGCTTGCATGGGCTTGCCTTGACTATTGTTTGCATATTATTATTCTAAACGAATATACTCCTACCGATTTTCTGTACATATATTTTACATCATCCACGCTTGTTCTCACACAAGTAATGCGTCGTTTATCCTCGGTACCTCGGACCCTCTTCCAGCTCGTTCTCGCAGGCACCCTAAACGTCACGGGGAGTTCATGTAACTACCGACAATTACTTAGTTTGAGCTCTTAACCTGTTCTCAAAGTAACACCTTGAGTGCCATATAAGAGTCTTTCAGAGATTTAGAGCTACAGTTGGAGCGTAAGCGGGCAAAATAAACGGTGTGCGATGGGCCTCACCTTCTCGGGATCCTTTGACAAAAGCCGCATAACGAAACGTGTAGAAGCGGTTATCATCGTGCATCCCATCAAGTGAAGACTCTTCTGCTCCTTTGCTCAATGATCAAGAGATATTTATCGTCCCGCTTGCTTTAGCATGCGAACACTAAGATGATTAAATAGGCCGGTTTTTGGGGTTTCTGACACGGGGCACACATAAGCTATAAAGGAGCTAGATCCAATAGGGTGTTTGACATGGATTAAACTCGACAGTCATTAATGGCCGCTTAAGCTGTGTGCTGATCGCAGGCAACTTTTTACGCAATACTAGCTTTTGAAATGTCTGGAGTCATCTGGTCACAAAGTGGCCTTCAACTGCATGCCGACCACAATCTCAAATCGATGGCATTGACGTCAGTTACCGATGACACGAAGCAATAACTGACTTCCGGTTGTTTTGGAACACATTTGTGGATTCTGACCATGTGTTCGTCCGGGGTGCCTTCTCGCTGCGTTTTCCCAGAGCCGCGTACGGTGCGGACAAATCGCTTGGCAACCGGAAGACTGGCAGATCCGGATGTACGAAGGATTTCTAGGGTCGTTTCCAAATATTCTGCCATCAGATGTGAACTCATACTGGGACGATATTGCTACCATTTTGCAAAGTGCTCGGAATCTTATCTGTGCCTCGGCACTACCAGGCCCACCGTATATCATAAAGAGCTGTGGGACTTCTTAAACTTCGGAGAAATATCTTCCCGTTCCCGAACATCACTTGACCCAAAAAACCACCGGAAGCAATTGAAAGAGTACGTGCGAACAGCTTACGAAGTGTCATAGACGCACAGAAAGCCGGAAATGATCATAAATTATCCCAGTTGGGCCGTACGACCGGTCCTTGAAAACCACCCGTGATTGGAACCATCAATGATCGGAATGGAATGGTCATCTCAAATAAAGAGGAACACCTCAACCACAGGGGTATCAGATTGGCCCCAGTCGTAACGAGACTTTTGGCGCCTCACGGTTGCCCGCGAAACATCGGATCGAGAGCTACAAGCGTGATTTCGCCCCAGTGTAGGTTTTGTTGATCAGATCGTTACACTCCGTCAGGTACTAGAACAACGGCACACGTATAACCGACCAGTCAACATGATAGGCTATGTGTATTCTCGGACCTTTTGAGGTGTGACAGCATAACGAGAGCTCTTCAAAAGCTTTCGTATTCAAAGCTGTCATTCCTATTTAATTTCGTGCTTGATGCAATCATGAGACAAACGATGGAAGTTCACCGGAAGTCATTGTTCTCGTCGTTGACGTAAAGGATAAGGCGCAGATATTTTTGGATCAACTGACCGAATTCACCTCATCCATTGGTATGCATGCGGAACCCACAATCTGCCTGGTCATGCCCCTGGCCATCCAGCTACTGAACACATGGCGTTTACAACGCACGAAGAGGCATTGGAAGTTGTGGAGCGCTTTAGGAATCCTGGGAATTGTATTAGTTCTGTTTTAGTGTTACAGCTGAACTCAATGCACGAATATGCAAGGCTCTGGTGGCGTTTGCTAATTTGAGACATTTATGGCGTCCGAGTATTTTTCTCCCTTAATATCAAGGGACTTGTATATAAGGCTGCACTGAGGAATGATTTGCTTTATGGCTGTATGACTTGGTCTGTTCAAGCGTCTTCAGGTGTTCGTTGTCTCAGAGCCATAGCTCGTGTGGGTTGGTGTCGGCGAATCCGTAACGGGGTTTTAGGAAAGCGCGTTTTCGGTTGTGCATCAGGTACTCGCACTTAAGAATGTGTCATGCACCAGAAACCACGTTGGTTGGGACATGTGTTGCGTATGTCTAACCACCGTTTGCCGAAGAGAGTGCTGTTTTTCACACCTAACTCAGAGTGACGGAAGCACAGAGGTGGCCAACCATCGACCTTACAGAGGGGTATGAAAGAAATCACGAAACGCTTGGGTTCTGTCGGTGCTACTCGCCTTCCAGGATGACGCCGCGTGATCCCCACTGGGCCTGGTTGGGGACAATACAATATATGGCTGCCAACCAATGTCAGTGACGCTCTTGTTGTCAGTGACTTCCCAGACTTCCTGAATTAGTGACTGCGGGTGTGGACACCTCATAATGGCCTCAAGTACCACTAATTCACTTCCTTGTCCACGTTTGTCCTCTTCTGTATAATAAGGCTCCCAAGTAAATCATGGTTTCACTTAAGCGAAACACCGATATTGAACACTGGGGTATGTTGTAGATGATGATATGTGATATAGGGTGAGCAAAGTGTTTAGTCCCAGTTCTGGGACCCAAGGAGAGAGCACCTAAGTTGGGGCAGAGTAGGGTAAAATTGGGAGAAGCAAAAGGGGCTCCATAAAGTAGCGTGCTTTCACATGCCCGCCACGGTGAATGCGGCAAATAGGGCGAACTTGCCCCACAAAGGCCGATGCGACATA